GACCCGAATGCCATATAAATACAGAGCTATCGGGGAGAAGAAGAAAAGATTTTATAGGATCGGCGCACAATCGGTGTATTATGTGTCTTAGTCGAGTGGCGGCAGCTCCTCCTCTCCGACGTCGTAATACATGATCAATCCGACTAGGGAAAAACTTCGGATGGACTAAGAGGCCATGAAAGAAGAGGTGATCGAGCTTAAGGAGACTATTTGTAACATAAAGTCTTAATACGATTCGATGGCATCCTTACCAATGCAGTGGCATGAACATCCGGGTTGTCTATAGATTCGTCGATCATTCGGCAATCTATTGGTCCTTCCACTCGACCTCTAGTCGATCCTCTAGACAAGCAGTTAACACGAGCATGAGGATGAGGATATGAGATTAGACGAGCGAGGATGAGTGATGTAATATTTAGTCACTTTGTTTGCTTTGTTGTTTTTTTATGAAACGTATTCTAGAATGATTTTATTTATTTTATTTTATTTTTCATATATACATGATTACTTATGATTTTTTATTATTAATTTTAATTATTAAATATTATATTAATAATATAATATCCGAATATGTCAACAAAAGCGAAGGAATTATAAAAAAAATCATTTTTGAAAAATAGCGACGAATTGGTGATAATTTCATTTTTTGGAATAGCGATGGAAATTAACGATGGATTAGCGATGGATTAGCTACGAAAAAAGAGTCATCCTACGTCAAGATTAGCGATGAATTTTTTAGGTTTAATGATGGATTTTTCATCACTAAATTTAGCGACGGATTGAGTATTCCGTCGCTAAAATTTAACGACCAACGAATTAGCGACGAAATTATTGCATTTAGTGATGGAATTTTTTGTCACTAAAATCAATTTTTTTATATAGTGAGAGAGAATAAAAAATATTCCTTCTTTTAATGTTAATACAACGAGTGTCTTTTACATGAATAAGCCCAAAAAAGGCTCTTACACATATCCATTTTTGTTAACAAATCTTAATACAATAGCCATTTGCTCTTTTTTAGACTCATCTCAAGCTTCATCAATAATTATACAAAATTTTGAATCACTAATTTCTTCACGGATGACATTCTTGATTTTGGTTGCTAAGACTTACAAAATTTCCTTTTGCACTCTTGGTAATGTGTATGAGGCATTTTGTGGAGCTTTACTTAATACTATTGCTACCTTGTCACCGTAAGATGCCACAAAACTCAATAGTTCAAGAAACTTTTCACGATTCATCGATGTTTTGTTCTCATCATGACCTCTAAATGCACATCCTTGAAATGCAAGCCACCTATTACATCAATTGAAGCTTTCAATCGAAGACGTTTATCTATAATTTGCCGAGAAGTAAACTTCACAAACGTTTTCTCAATATGCAAAGGTTGATTCATGAGATCCCGACATGCTTTCTCGGCATTTCGTGAGGAGAAGTGGGATCTTTTCCATAATGCGTTAAGAATGCATAATTTTTACCACCTCTAACTTTCTTCTATGATCGAAATCCATTAACGAGTAAATGCATTTGATCCAAAAGATCCATTTGGTGTGTGAAATAAATAGCATGATAGACAAAATTCAACATCTTTTATTTAAGAATATTTTAGCCATGATGGAAATAATTTAAACCATAATGCTTGAAAACTACGAGGATGCTTTTCTCTAGATTTTGGATAATTTGAAAACATATGCTGATATGGACCAACATTAATATAGGCTCTTCGAACTTCTTCATGTTTTTCGGTAGGATACTCTCATATTTGTGGTCTTAATCCCAAATCACGTTCCAATGAATTGATATCAAATCCTTCTTTGATTTCAACTCTCCGAGATTTCGTAAGAGGATTTTCGAATTTAAAAGATCGGGATTAATAGAAGAATTTGACTCGTCATTAGAATTTGAGATGACAAAATTCTTCTTTTAAAGAATGCATCGATAGTATGTGACTTTTTCATCTACAATAAAAATAAATTACAAATATGAATATGCGAGTAATTCTAAAGTGCGATATGTAATAAATTACAAATTCACTTAAAATGCAAATAAGATATTCAAATTTTCAAACAAAATTACATAAATAGACCACCACCCGAGTCTATAGGGAACCACCCCCCAAGCTCATTGGTATACATACCTAAAAATATCAAGGATATCAAGGATTATAGTAGCACTTGCCACTCCACTAATAAGTTGAGTATATTTCAAAATAGTCACTTTAGTAATATAAAACCTATAAAATATAAATAAGAAAAATCATTATTATAAACAAACAAACAAACAATTGAGAATCTAGTATATTAATCTAGATCAAAGAAAATACACGATGTGTTATTGAATAAGAAAAATCCAAATAAAAAAAAATTTCTTTTTGATGTTTTGAATAGAGTAAGAGTTAAGGGAAAGGAAAGAAGGAATGAATTTAGTTGCAATAGTAGGAGGTAACTGGGATCAAAAAAGTAAATATTAAAGGTTTAATTGTGCATTGTGGGGAAACCAAGGGCAAAGATTAAAAAGCACTAAAGAGCGTTAGGTTTGTCTTATTCTAGTGGAGGAAAAAAAAAAACTAAAGTCGTGTTTGTTTTATCTCAAGTGGTGGCATAAGTGCTATTTGGTATTTATTTTATTTTTATTTTTTTGAAGTGTAGGGTAAGATAGAGATTGGGATTGTGCATAAGTGCATTAAAAAAAAAAAAAGTTAGAGGCTGGATTTGTTACTCAATTTAGGAAAAAAAAAAAAGAAGTTAGAGGGGAGCTCGTACATTACTTTAGTATAGAAAAAAAAAAAGTTTTGGGGAGGCCCGGCCCTATAGAATTATATGTCCGTCCGCCCTTGGTTATGTTGTATAGGAGAAATGACTTCATAGGATGAGGGTTTTTTTTTCCTTATATTATTATTATTATTATTATTATCATTATTATTATTTTATTTGATTCTACAAAAGGCTTAAAATTGAGTTTCTTAATGTGATGGGTTTGATATGAAAATTAAGAGGATATGCTTTCATTTGGTAATTAGATTTTAAATATCAAATGTGATTTTGGGAAGTAAATTACTGGATTTTTTTTATTCTACAATAAAAAATGTACCAACTTTCGTGCAGTTCAAGACTAATATTTTATTGGGTGTAGTTAAAAAACACTGTCTAAGGCTCGAAATATTTGACCTAACCTGAAAGATTATTTTAATCTCCATGCACGAAAAAGTTGTTCCAGAAACACAATGTAGACATTGTAAAACCCAAAAAATATTGAAATTTTGGTTGCAACACGGGAGCAGTCATCCTCTTTTGGCACGTCATTTAAGCTACCGTGTATGAACTATTGTTTTCAACGTAGAATAAACAAAGAATGTTTCAATATTTGGAAGTCTTTAGTCTTCGCCGATAGTGTCGTGCCGGCTACAATCAAATATGAACAACAGCATAGAACAACTTAACCGATTTCTTAGAGCCAATCAGCTCAATGCCCAAAATACAAACGTTTACAGATCATTCTCTCTATTTTTATATGTTTTTATTTTTTTATTTTGAATTCAAAGTTTAAGCATTTTCAGATCAGCAATATTTTCTCACGTATCTTCTGTATTGGTATAGTATATTTACAGAAATAAATTTTCTTAAATTATGACTTCAAAATAAAAACTTTGAGATAGAAGGAAGAAAGCAAGTTTCTTCAGCTACAAAAACAATCTTTTGGAGCTGTATCATTCCTCTATTTGCCCCAACGGCAAAAGATCTGAACCGTTAGAGCCGTTAGTTTGTCTTAGTGGAAAACCCGCCAACCTCGGATTTGTCCTACAAATCCAAACAAACCAAACCCACTTTCCCTCTGTCGAATTCTCTGTCCTGCCCTCCCTCTATAATTTCTCGAAGACTAATATTATTCTGGAGACTCTTGTCGTGAATTTTCCAAATTTAGAAGATACACGATAACTAACAAGGAACAATTCAATAATGACATCTTCCAAACTGAACCTATGCATTAGTTGGTGGGTATCTGGGTAGTTTGTTGCCTCCCTTGCTCTTTCCTTTCTTCTACCAATATCTTTCCTTCAAAGTTCCATGCATTAGTTTTCTTTCTCTATATTTATGTATCATATCTTTTCATGTTCTGTCTGTTTTAGAAATTTTTTGGCTTTGAATGTTTCTTTTGTTTTTTTCCCTCTTTGCTTCTTAAGCTTCTCGTACATAATGCTCTTGTAAATAATTCTGCTGTTTCATCTCTCTGGCATGGTTTAAGCTTTGAGTCCTGCGACATTTCATAAAATTAAGAACTTTTTTTATTATTATTATTACTATTGTATCTAAGCCCATTTCTGCATCAAGGGAACGACCCAACATCACCAATCAATCCAAAATCCATTAAACCTCTCCAAAAACAGCCTTGAAGATCTTATCTGAGGTAACAATCCTGTTTTCTATTGTTTTTTATTATTAGTTTTCAATTTCATGTTTTCAGCTTTTGTTTTTATTCAAGGTTTATATGCCTTTGTAGGATTATATTTGAATTCTTCTTCGACAGCACACAAATGTCTAATTTGGTGCGACGAGAGTTGTATCGCTAGATTTTCTCAATTCTGATAGAAACCAAGCAAGAGTTTTAGTATATTATTTGGTCATTTAGTTCTATTTGATTAATCTTCTTTTTTTTTTCAGGAATTTTTAGGAAATTATTTAAAGTAGGTTTTGTTAGATAATTTAATTCCATGTTGTATTTAGTCAAATTCTATTTGTTTTTTTTTTAAATAGTTTACGCATTAAGCATTTTGAGCTTCTTTTTTGATGATGGGCAATGGATTTTGATTGCTGAGTATTGAGATTTGTTCCTTGGATTTCCTCTCTTTCTGTCCCCCCTTACAATTTCTTTCCTGTTTTCCATCAAATGATCCTTTCCAATTATCATGCAACGGTTCAGAATTTGAGTGCAGGTGGTTCATGTCATAATCATGTGTTCTTGTTCTTTGTTGTAGCTAGAAATCAATCTCAAGAGTTGCAAAGATGCAGCATGATAGGGGGCAAGTTGATGAAGAGGAGCTGAGGAATATAAAGGAGAGATTGACTGTAGCAGAAAGGGAAAGAGATAGAGCGCGTGATGAGATTAAAGAGATGAAGAAGTTGGCTGATGAGTCAAATGCCAGGTTAAAAGAAGCAACGTCTAATGGGAAGGCTGCTGATGTGTTTACGGAACTCAATTCAGTAGTGGAATCTTTGTCAAAATCAAATCAAGAGTTGAAGATCAAAGAAATGGCTATCACATCTTTGAAAGCTGAAGTTGGAAAGCTGCGAGAGGTGGAGGCCAAATTGGTAGAGAAAGTTAACTTACTGGAAAAACTGAAAAAGGAGTTGAGTGATGTTAAATCAACTCAGAGCATGAAAAGAAATCAAGGACTTGAGGCTGAAGTAAAGAAAGGGAACGAAGCAGACATGAAATTGTTAGATTCGTTTGCTGTTCAAACAAAGCAGCTTGAACAGACCAAGATATTGCTTGAAGAGTCGAAGCTTGAGATTAAATCCCTTCACAAGAAGGTAGAGGAATTGGAGAAACATGATAGAGATAGAATTTCATTGCAGAAAGAAATAGAGAGCCTCAAGTCTGAACTTCAGTTGGCGAGACAGAACCGGACTCATGCTCAGGAGGGCGGAAAACATTCAGCATCGAAGACCAAGAATCTAATTGAGGGGATGGAATTGCTTAAGCATGAATTGAGATTAGCAACTGAGGCAGAAGAGAACAGCAAGAAGGCAATGGATGACTTGGTATTAGCGCTATCAGAAGTTGCAACAGAAGCCAGCCAAACGAGGGAGAAGCTTATGTTAACTCAGGAAGAGTCGGAGCACTTCAAAAAGGAGGCAGAAGATTTGCAGGAGAATTTAAATGGTATTGAGGACAAGTATAGGACTCTTTTGAATGGGGCAAGGAAAGAAACCGATCGATATAGAAAAACAGCTGAGAGGTTGCGTATAGAGGCTGAAGAATCGCTTATGGCATGGAACGCGAAAGAGACAGGCTTTGTCGATTGTATCAAAAGAGCTGAAGATGAAAAGTCTTGTGCATGGGAAGAGAACACTAAACTGCTTGAATTGCTTAGAACAGCTGAGAACATGAACAAGATAGCTAAACAAGAGACTCAGAAGGTGCGCGATATACTTAAGCAGGCCCTGAATGAAGCTAATGCTGCAAAAGAAGCTGCAGGAATTGCCAGAGCTGAGAATTCCCAACTCAAAGATGTCTTAACTGAAAAAGACAATGCTTTGGTTTTCATTACTCAAGAGAACGAAAACCTTAGGATCAATGAAGCTGCAGCTCTCGAACAAATCAAAGAGTTGAAACAGTTGCTCTCTAAAGCATCAGAAACGCAGTGTAATGTGGAAGACAAGGAAAGCCAACATAAACAAAAGCCACAGAATGCAGAGGAGAAGCAGCACAAAAATGGCAAGAAACTGGGCCCTTCATACAGTTTCAATCTTAAAGAGCTAATAATTCCCCATAAACACAAGGATGTAGATGAGAACAACAAAACTCCTGATAAACAAAACAATAAAGGCGAGGAAGATGACTCTGACAATGCTGATCCACTTAGGGGATCAATATTTGATGATGAAGCAGAATCACCAGTAGCAACTCTCCATCACCAGAAAAAATTCACAAATGATGGAGAGGTAGCAAAACCGGAGGATTACGATCATCTAGATGGAGCTCATATCGATGATCCCGAGAATGAAAGAAACTCTATGAGAAAAAGAGCATATTTACGAAGATTTGGAGATATTCTACTGAGGAGGGGAGGCTCTAACAGAAGGGGACAACCTGCAGTTGATGGTGAGGGTCAAAGAAAAGAACTATGATTTTAGGGAATGACCATATGTCCACATCTACTTGTTTTCTACACGCAGTCAATTTTGTGTCATTGTTATAGATAGCTTTTCTTTTCCATACAGCAAAATATTTCAACGCAGTTTACGATATGATTATGTTACTCATTGCCTACTTACATAAACAAAATCTAATTATCAATAGGCTTAAAAGGTTTGAAACTTATACAGATCCACGCTACCTTATATTCAATTAATTAGAAGAGAAAGTGAGGGCGGTAGGATTTGAATTCTTGACTGTTAGGTTAACGAGATTCGATACTACGTCAAAAGATCATCTCACCCAAAAACTTAAGCTTATTAGATTACGCCATAGGATATGATTTATATTATTCTCTCGATAATACTATTTCTCTCGCTTCTATTGCCTTTTAGTTGAGCAGATCATTCTAGTTCAAGAGGCTGTATTCAGGACTTCATGAGCTTAATTGTTCTCTAAATTCTGAATAAGTGGGCATGCATAGACTTTTCTGTTAAGCGTTCTGCAACTTTTCCTCCTCCTTTCTCGACAAGGTTGAATATTTACACTTTGAGGTTTTCATCAATTCAAATCTTAATGAGTCTGGCCATTGACTTGATATGCCTTCATCAAATGGAACATTCGAAGAAAATTCTCCTGAATTTTCTAACTAAGATTAAGTCTCATTTAGATTGCAATTTACTTGGTCAATGTTCTTTCTTACACTTTGAATTTGACTGAGACCGCTTCAAGTCATTTCACAATTTCTTACATCGTAATTGCAAATTAATTATTTATCCATTAGCAAAAGATTCTAAGTTTCGGATTCGACATAAACGTGGTGGTAGTCTTTTCAGATATGATTTGAGAGAAATGTTATTTTAAAAAAAATCCTTTAAGATTTGGCAAATCATATTCATTACTCCATCAGCAGTAAATCAATTATTTATGGATGGACAAAATTTTTTTTTTCATTTTTTGGTCAAATTATTTATGGCTAAATTAAATACCATAAAAAAATTGTCTTTTAGCTGGTAAGTTTTGGGGAATACCTTTTAATTGTATTTTATTATGGCATTTCATTAATTTTCAACTGATTGCCGTTCAATCCAATGAGTTCTCATTCCAACTTGTACAGGCATAAATGGGTTATATTATAAATTAGTTTCTATAGTTTATCAAAATTGATTAATTAGTCATTATAATATCAACGATAATTAAATTGTCCATTTAATATTTAATTTCTGAAATAACATGAAACGGACTAATTAAGTTGTAAATGAATTTTAAAATGTAGGGATTGACTATATATATATATTTACTTAAAATACATGGACTAATTAATCTAATTTCATTAAATTAAAGGTACTAAGTTATAATTAATTAACTCATATAAATGCCATTAGTTGGACAATAAATTTCCTACTTCTTTGATACTGATTTAAACTTTTATCTACCTTTTTTTTCAACGTTATTTGAGGGACATGTTATAATAGAGCATAATAAAGAGTAAATTGTAAATTAATCCCTTTTATTTTGAAAAATGAATTAATTAGTTCTTTTAATTTTAAAAATAATCATTTAGTCTTCATATTTTGAAATATATTTATAATTTAATCTTTTTTATTTATTTATTTATTTATTTGATTTTTTGTTTTAAGAAATAGAAAAAAATATAAAAATATATGGAAAATTGATAAGAAAATAAAAGATTTTGTAGAATAAAAATAATAATAAATTATACATGATCAACATTGATTAAAAGACTAAATAATAATTTTTAAAACAAAAAAAACTAATTTATTTATTTCTTGAAACTAAAGGGTCTAATTTATAATTTACTCCATAATGACAACGTAATTTCTCATTAAAAAATGTTGTCCCTAAAAAGTCAATTTGAGCATAAATAAATATAAAAAACAAAAAATAAAGAACGCAGGCAAGGAATAGGAAAGAGTTCAACAGAACGGGGCAGTTACCAACAACTAACGATGATTAGATCAAAAAATCAAAAACAACTAACAATTAAAAGTCCAAAAACAAGAATTTGGTAGCCGTAGAAGACACCAAAATCGCACGAGCAGTCGAGCAAGAATTGTGTTTTGTTCTTATCGTAACAAAAACATACTTTTATTTTTTTGGAATGTCATAGCTAGGAATTGAACCTTCAATCAGCAATGAAAATTAATGAGTTATTTCAGTGTTGTTTTTTTTTAAAAAAAAGCTCAAATTATGTTGGATTATCTAACAAAAAATAATACTTAATTTAGAAAAACCATCATCTCTGCCTGCGTGTGTCATTATCCAATAATTTTATTGGATACGTTTATTCAAGACTCATCAACTGTTAGTATGGTTTTAATTAAGAATTTTATGAGTTAAGGTGTTTATCCCTTTGGTAGCCAATAACCTCCAAAAAAACATTTTGAAAATAAATACTAATTTAATTGCATTTGTCATTACATGATTGGACAAATATCCATAGTATCGGTTTTGCATATATGGATTCAATTTAAGGTAATATTTTATAGCTTTATCGACAAAATAAAAAACAAGAAGATATGAATTGTCCCCAATGTGGGTACCATTGATTGATGTTTTAACAATATACTGTCTGTCCCTACTTCAAATTATCAATAGTCTCACGATACTTCTAACCGCGGACTGATATTTTCACACCCTTCGCCGTCCAAGTACTTGGAAGCAACTTGTATAATGAAGAGCAATTTTAGGGCTTAAAGAATAATTATCGATATTTATTTCATAGAAAAAGCATAGAAAAGATTATTAAAAAATAAAACTTAAGTGAAAATATCCTTATAATTTTTAGTAAGTAAGTTGGGATATGATTTTATCTTTATTTTTTGTGTCAATCTTTTTTTATGGGATAAATATAAATAGTTATTCGGTGAATAATTTAAATTTTTGGTATATTTTTTATTCTATTACTTAATGAATTTCAAGTGATATAATTATCGTATTTATTAATAAAAAGAGATTTTAATATTTTATTGCATACTTGTTATTTTTATCAATAAAATTTGATAATACGAGCCATTCTTCTTTTGATAAATGGTGGTAAGAAATTCTTAAAATTTTAGTCGTATGGAAAAGGTCAAGTTGTAAATAATTTGAAAAGAAAAAACTCAGAGAAACTTTATTTGGAAACCGTGAAGTAAAGTATGAAATACTATTTATACTGTCAATAATTTATACTTTAATGAGCATGTTTTTTTTTTTTTGGTTTGATTAAAATCGATTATTATATTTATAATTTCTGTTTGAATTTTATAAAAATTATGATGGTTCGTAATGAAATTACATTTTTCTATAAAAAATAATAACAATATATTGTCAAGTCAAACCGTTAGTTCCATGTTTAGGTACATTTTAAGTGGTAAAATAAATTCGCTTCTTTCTAAAAATTTCCAAATTCAAATTTTAAGGTTAATTTTCTATTTTTTTGTTAAATGTAATCCAATATAAAGACTTATCTTTTTAAATTATATGAGAATATTTAATTTTTATTGACGTATAATTTAATATAAATAAAACTATAATTCACGATAAAACTAAAAATGAATGTTGCATTTTGTTTATTACAAAAAAAAAAAAGTTTGGATTAGAATTTTAAAGAGAAATGAGACCCCAATATTAGTTAACTTTATGCCGACGTGGTAGTTAATCGCACACGTGCATCGACATGGAGGCCCCATTATCCTTTTTTTATACAAATTGGTCAATTTTTTTATTTAAATATGCAAACTTTGATCTTTACTATTTAAGTATACCAATATGTAATTTTTTTATTTAAATGATTTTTTTAATTATAGACGGACGTATTTATTAACTACGCAATAAAATTGTCAAGTGGACTCATTGTCAAGACATATGGCAACTAGAAATAAGTAAATAATTAAAAAATTAAAGAGTAACAATCCATTATCGTTATCAAATAGCAACAAAAAGACAAATAAATTACATAAGAACAATTAAATATTTATGATCGTTATATAAAAATAATTTTTTTAATAAAAGAAAAAATAAATTACTTAAACATAACCAAGTTACAAGAAAAGAATTGAAAACTTAAAAAAAAAAAAAAATTGATTGTGTTCATTCACCAAAACAATGATTCATATTCTCAATAGAAAAGTTGAGAATAATGGTTGTTTAAAAGATGACAATATGAAATTGAGTTTTAATTTAGAATGAAGGATAACCTAAATCTAGGTTGAATGAGATGAATTGATTAGATAAAACTTCTTGATTAATTTTATATATTTATTGGTTGATCCATTCTCATTTTTGTAATTTTTTTTTATAAAAATATTTGTTAAATAATAAACATATTATAGTAGTATTTTTTTTTTTTTTGGGATACAAATATTTGATAATAGAACTTGCATAATGACGTTATATGTGTAGTTAATGAACACATCAGTTTAGAGTTAACGTAACTATTCAAATAAAAATATTAAAAATTGATATACTTAAATATCAAAAATTAGAGTTTTCACACACAAATAAAAAAAAATGACAAGTTTGTACAAAACAAAAATTAACAGTAGATCCTACATGTTAGTGACATTTGTGCAATTAATAGTTATATCAGCATAAAATTAAAGAAAGTTACTCAAAACACTCATACAGGAAAAAAGATCACAACTTGACATGTTCAAATAACAAAAATAAAAAATACACTCAATTTAAAAATAAATAAATAAAACACCAAAAATATAATTAACTCTTTCTTCTTATAAAAAAATAAAAATAATAGGAGAATTGAAGAGAAGGATGAAAAGAAAAAAAAACTCATCATAAAGTGAATACAAGTGATAAGAACCTCAAATTATTCTCTTAATTTTTCTAAGAACTTGTACATCAAATGATGAACAATCAAGCCTATTTATAGGTTTCAAAATAGAGATGAGAATTGGAAGGGACTATGAATAATTAAAAGTACATCAATTGCATTACCCTTTTAATTTCTCAAATTGAATGATGAATTGAA